TTTATTCAACAGCATTTTAAATATTGATTATCTGATATGAATTGTATACCTGAAGTGGGGCTGAATAAAGTTTTCCTCTTAACATCTGACCTGTTTGATCCCATTTATATTGGTGAGGGCAGACTAAATGACAAACTGCTGTCAGTATAATCCAGTACAGTTCAACACCACCACAATCTACAACTCAACACTTCAATATAATGTTAGACTGAATATTAAACTGCTTTTGTTTTTTCTAGGTGTACCAAGTAAACTGTCAAGTCTACATAAAAATGCAGACAGAAAGCATAATGATGAGACAAATGCAGTGATGGACAGTAACTAAGTATATTTACTCAAGTAGCTACTGTACTTAAATACAAATTTGATGTACTTGTACTTTAGGTATTTCCATTTTGTGCTACTTTATACTTGGAGGGAAATACTGTGCATTCTACTCAAGCTCCATTTATTTGATAGCTATAGTTACTTTTCAGACAGTTTGTTTTATATGTTGTAAGTTTCATATTTACAAGTTGATGTGCGTTGTTATAGATTAGACTAGTATACTAGTGAAAGGTGTTAAAATTAGTTCTACCATGACAACATTTAAATGCTGCTTACATGTAGCCTACGTGTAAATTGATCAATCAATACTCAATACATATTCATGTATGAGTACAACACTTAAAATTGGGTCACTCTGCATCATGAGTACTTTTAACTTTTCATTTTAAGTAGTCCTACATTTTTCTGACAATACCCAGATACTTTTACTCAAGTCAGATTTGCAGCACTTTTACTTGTGACTGAGTTTTTGCTCTTTGTTGTGATATTACTACTTTTTCTGGGGACTTTGTCCACAACTGGACAAACATCAAACAATAGAGACATGCAAGCATCGCACGTCTCATCCTCCACCTCATTCTCCATTGTCTTTCTGGGATCTGCCCCCTCAGCTGGGCAGCCTCCTTCTCAGCCTGCAGGTACAGCAGTCCTGCTGCAATAACTGCACCAAGATGCCTTCTCCGATCCATGTCAGTTATTAATTTATTTCACACTTACAATAACCACCAACTCTCCACAAACTTTCCCCCTGCACCTGACTTTTGATCACACATAATCAGAAGCCAGGTGCGGGAATTGGATATAGATTAAATATGATCAAAAGCCAGCTGCGGGGAAAAGGATTTAAACGACAATTTAAGAAAATATTTTGGCTATTCATACGTTTTTTGTGTCAGTTATATATGTTGAAACGTTAAAAACATATACATATTAATTTCTTACAATGACAATTAAGAAGAAGGAGAGGGTGTTTGCGCTCTTGCTACAAGTCCAAAGAAAAACTCACATCAGGTGCGTAGGCCAAAAAATGTCAAGAAGACACCAGGAAATGCTCGCACACCTATCACATAAATGGAATGTCCACATCCACAAAACGGTCTTCAATTCGATGACTCATTTCTTCATTTAGCTCGGTGTTTAGCCTGCAGCTCTTACGCTTTGATGAGAACATTAAACCATGACAGTTCATCCAGCTCATCCAGTTTTACAACTTGACATATTTTGTTTTACAGGATATGACCTGTTATGGTAGAAATGATGATGCTGTTTCATGATTGGCTGTATGTGAACAAGACATTGTATAAATGAAAAGGAGGTCTTATCTGTTGGACAGACACTTCACATCATCTGACACCAACTAACGCTGAATTTACAAAGGGACATCACCCAAGCTGAACTGCCACAGACTCGGTAAGAATAAGTCTGTTTTCATCTGTAAATTATTGCTGACAGAATTGATCATGTAGATTTGTTTCCTATGTCTTAAAGTTAAATCAAAACAAACGAATGAAACGTTTTATTCATTTTTTTAATCACACCGAAGCAGAAGGCACATTTCACTGGAGGGGATGCCAGGTGCTGGGACCGTGTCACTGGCATGTATTCTGGGAGTGTCCAGTGATCAGACCTCTCTGGACAGAATTTCACAAAGCACTAAAAAAGATACTTAACTCTGATCTTCCTTTGCAATTTTTGACATTAATTTTAGGATGTATGGATTTTAAGGCCAAGCGTTCTGACAAATATATGTTTGGTATTTTGCTATCGGCTTGCAAGAAAGCCCTCACAAGGTGCTGGTTGCTTCATGAACCTTGCACAATAGAGGAGTGGACAGATATTGTAAATGATATTTATGTTATGGAAAAGATTACCTTTTTCACTTCATCTTCAGGAGAATGTGTTCATTCAATTCTGGGCAAAGTAGGTGATATATGTAAGACCCTTACGACCTGATTTTGTGGAGTTATCATACAAAAGACCCTGTGATGTTTAGTCACGCAAACCTCATTGACTGCCAATCTATTTTTTTTTTTGTATCTTTAATCCCTCCTCTAAAAACTAATGTGTCATTTAAAAATACACTCGCAGCCTTGTCAGTCATGTATAACAGCCACGTAGATTTCACCTTGTGACGTAATATCTGCTTGTGCGTGCGTGGTCATGAACAGACGTGGACACGGCAGCACGTTGTTGTTTTTTTTACCTTTAAAAGGTTAATATGCACATGTGGCAAACAGAAGAAAACAGTGTACGTTTACATATTCATGTCTATAGGCCTAAGCCCCACATACGTCCATAGACCCTCAATATTTGTTTTACAGCGCTGTTTTAAGGTCAATGTCATCAATCTGTTTGATCATCTGCTTAAAAAAAAAGAAAAGTAATATGTCCTGTTGTGACTAGGGGTGAGTTCGTGTACAAAAATCTCCAAACATTTAGAGTGGATAATTTTTTTCGTGTAAACGTGTACACGGGTTTCACCGCTGGGTGATGCTATTGCTTTATACCAGTAAAGCCCCAGTTATCCGAATACCAACCGAACGGGCCCTTTTAACCAATGCGCTGTTTTAATAGCATGGAGCACGTAGGCTACTGAGGCGTTGTTCGCCATTCCGAAGGATCTACATCCTGAAAATTAATTTCCATTTATCGGAGTGGCGGCCCTTCCTCTTTTTTTCAAAGGGTCTGCCATTCTGAATTCTGTTCCCTGAAAAACAGGTCATGTCAGCCTGAATTATTTGCGTGTGTCCCTGGTGAAAATTGCTGACATGCATGGGAAATACGGCTTCTACAGGCTCACCATAGCTTACTGTCAGGACTCAGGGACCAGAATTCAGGATGGCGGACTNTTGTCAGTCATGTATAACAGCCACGTAGATTTCACCTTGTGACGTAATATCTGCTTGTGCGTGCGTGGTCATGAACAGACGTGGACACGGCAGCACGTTGTTGTTTTTTTTACCTTTAAAAGGTTAATATGCACATGTGGCAAACAGAAGAAAACAGTGTACGTTTACATATTCATGTCTATAGGCCTAAGCCCCACATACGTCCATAGACCCTCAATATTTGTTTTACAGCGCTGTTTTAAGGTCAATGTCATCAATCTGTTTGATCATCTGCTTAAAAAAAAAGAAAAGTAATATGTCCTGTTGTGACTAGGGGTGAGTTCGTGTACAAAAATCTCCAAACATTTAGAGTGGATAATTTTTTTCGTGTAAACGTGTACACGGGTTTCACCGCTGGGTGATGCTATTGCTTTATACCAGTAAAGCCCCAGTTATCCGAATACCAACCGAACGGGCCCTTTTAACCAATGCGCTGTTTTAATAGCATGGAGCACGTAGGCTACTGAGGCGTTGTTCGCCATTCCGAAGGATCTACATCCTGAAAATTAATTTCCATTTATCGGAGTGGCGGCCCTTCCTCTTTTTTTCAAAGGGTCTGCCATTCTGAATTCTGTTCCCTGAAAAACAGGTCATGTCAGCCTGAATTATTTGCGTGTGTCCCTGGTGAAAATTGCTGACATGCATGGGAAATACGGCTTCTACAGGCTCACCATAGCTTACTGTCAGGACTCAGGGACCAGAATTCAGGATGGCGGACAGTCGGAATGGCGGTATTTCGGAGTGGCGGCCTGTAACCAGGCTACTGACCTGTTGCCAAACCCGGTCTCACACCATTTCTTGTCATATTCACTGTCTATCACAGTTAGTTGTTAGTTATCACAGTTAGTTAGTAGTTAGTCAACAATTAGTATCAGCCCCCTCCCCCCTAAAAAAAACAAACAAAAAAAAAAAATGTTTTTCGTGTACTAATTTTTCATAACCGTTTATGATCTGAAACACATGTACACTCACCCCTGGTTGTGACAAAAAGAAAGATTTCATGGGGAGTTCTCCCCCGAGAAAATTTTGAAAATTCATGCTGCTAAATCCTATTTTCATGCAATCTGATACAGAAATAGATAACAGATAATAAACAAGTGCATTACATTAGCCTACCTCATCATGTTCTTGTGTAGTAGGACGCCTATTAGAACTACTCTCTTCTTCTTGCCTCGTTTTTTTCTTAAAGACTCAAATAACAAAGAGGTTTTTTTCATCATAAGTGTGTTTTAGTTATTCAGGCAGGGCACATGGTTTCATATCGTCTGCAATTTCCTTACCTTGGTACAATTCTCACCAGCAATGTATTGACAACAGGCGACTTCCACGCTATTTACTTCAGTGTTTTTTTTGGGGGGGGGGGGATTTTCACCCAGGTAGATTTGTTATACTATGGGTAGGTTAGACTTCATAAAGCCTGTATCTGATTGTAAATCCTGATGTGAGGTTTGCTTTGTGGCTTCAGGAAGCAGCTGTAGAGCCGGAGTATCTGCCGTCCTGCTGAGAAATCCAGAGCATCACAACGCCCAGAGAAATACAAGGTATAACACCACAGAAGAGTGGACACTGGATGTGTTGTGCCATTTATCAGTAGCATGTCAGTTTGTAAGATAAAATGGTTCTTTTTTTTTTGTTTTAAAACAGATGGCTGCTGGCCGTATCGCTCATGCTTTTGAATACGCCGGGAACGAAAGGGGCAGGGCGGCATTCAGAGAAAAAACACTGCGTAGCAAAAAAGACACTCTGTTTTATGATACAGGTGCTGATGGTCAAACATGCAGCCTCATGTATTTCAGCAGACGTTTTATAGAATGGTTGGATACACTGAAGCAACAATACCCT